TCAGACCAGCTTATTCCCATCTGTATTTAGGAGCCGATCATTGTATAGAAACATTTGGACGTTTTCATGGAGAGACATTACAGATCGGGAGGCTATGATAATTCCATATTGAACTCCCTGAAGGAGAAGAGGTCAAAAACAGTACTACAAAATAAAACAGTACTCTGTGGTCCAAAAACCTTGAAGGAAGGTCAGAGAGCATTTACACTCGAACGTAGGAATCTAAGTAAGTGAGCACTTCTGCTCGAACGTAGGTATATGTAGGAGTTTGGCACATGCGGTCAACATTATCCTGGAGTGCCATAAATCCTGTTGTGATCTATCTTTCCCTTCAGAGATTTCAATACCAGACATTAAATGTCCCTACATGAACACTTCTGAATGTTTCTTCTTATGGTTCTTCTTTACATGAGCAGGTGTACAAATTAATAGATATCAAGTTTATGATAGTCATGTCAGTCAAATTTATACGATGATCTGCTCATGAATACAGATCTTAATAACAGTGGTCTGATCCCTGCAAAATTACACACCACTTATGACTCTTCCCTATGGCTATCAAGCAAGCGTGAAAGTCAGATTTTGTCACAAAAATATTATGATTTTAAACAAAATGATCTATTTGACACGATTCACGTTGAAATTACGAAATATTACAAGTAATGGTGATGATCAGTAGTCATTTGAAGATAATCGTTGGTCATTGCTGAAAAGGTGCTGCTTTGGTTAAATTGTGCTAATATAAAAGCTTGCTATGCCAGTCCTTACATTTATGCACTTCCGTGTTACTAACTACTGAATACAGATGAGAATAATCGTTGCCTGATCCTGCAAAATTATACACCAGTTAAGCCCCTTTCCTACGATGACCGCGAACGTCCGATTTTGTCACAAAAACTTCATGATTTTTAACCAAGATAGTATATTTGGCACCAGGAACGTTCAAGTAACAAAAAATTGTACTATAATGTTCATAATCAACGGTCATTTGAACTCTTGAAAATAGTAGTCGGTCATCAGTGAAAAAACGAATTTCGTGGAAAATACCGTTTTTACACATTTTCAGAATATTACAGCACTCTAGTGGGTTGCGTTCCGGTCAATTTTTTTCTTTTGACATTTACTTTGAGAAATGCCCTTCACAACCACACCAAGCAATTCTATGTCAGACCTGCAAAGAAGCAGCTACATGCGTTTTAGGATAGCATAATTTTAAACATATGTAAAATGACCACTTTATGATCACTCACAGAAAATTCCACACGATTCATTCATTCCCAAACGACTGCAGGATTTTAAGACAACTACTAGGCCTATCATACCTGACCAATATCAAGAATTTAGAGACACAACATTTCGGGTAAGAGCGTTTTGAAATTAGGGTAACAAATTGGTCGAAATATGTCAACTTTTGCCCCAAAACAACAATTTCCAGTTATACCGGAAGTTGTCAGTTCAAAATTTTTTCACTTCATCATGTGACTTCTGTCGCCTAGGGGTCCCCATAGACCAAGTATGGTTGAAATTTGCTGACCCCCCGGGTTATCGTTTTTTACAATTTCTGCATGGTGCTCTCGTGGACACGCTCTTACTAGTTCGATAGGGTACTTTTATTTACCATTTAGTCTTGTGCATTCGATGTCTTATTTCAACCCACATTTATTTGAACGATCTTTTGAGGAAATATAATGGAGTAAGATTACCCTGGTATTAAGGGGAAACAACTAATAAAGAAATTATCTGTTCAATTAAAGTGATGGATAAGATAAGATTTTATTCCATAGATAACAGCATGGAAACAATGTGAAAAGAAATACAAAACGTACAAATGAAGATTAACAATTAGGGAGCCACGGTGGTTCAGCGGGTGAGAGGAAGATGTTGGCTGGCTGACCTGGAGGTCGCGTGTTCGATCCCTGAGATGGCCGAGAAAGTTCAGGACAGGGGGGTCTGACAAGAGACAACGTATAGTCGTACCGATGGGACGAAAAACCGAGGTCCCTTATACACATTGGCGTGCACCAGAGCCTTATATAAGGCTCTGGCGTGCACGTAAAAGAGTAGATATAAGAGTAGGCCATAGTGCCACTGTCCGGGCAAAATTCCCCCTTATAGCACAGAACAGAACAGTAGGACCAGAACAGTAGGACGTTAAACTCCATTTCATATTCATATAGATTAACAATTAATATATCAAGAGTATAGTTACATGTACAAATGTGACTATAATGTATATAATGGTCAATGTCAGACATAAAGTTATATTTCAGTTGACTATTCTCCAAACCAGGATGTCTGCCATTTGATATGGGGGGAACTAGTACTTGAGTTTCTCAGTAGCTTCTTGGAATAGGATGCGCTGCTAAATAATAACAGGATGTTTAAATGAAATGAAATGAAATGAAAAGGGGTTTAACGCCCGACTGTTATGCTCCGACTGGGCTCATGAAGACGAACATACGCCTTACAGTGTGCTATGAAGGAAATTTTGCCCCGGCAGCGGCACTATGGCATACTCTTATGTCAAATTCCAACTGACAAGGGTTATTTTACGTGCACGCCAATGTAGACACGGGACCTCGGTTTTTCGTCCCATCCGAACATCTAGCCAGCTGTTCTTGCCAGGCCTTCCGTCATGCACCACTGACAAGTGGGAAACCACGTCGGAAAATCCCGATTAACTTTCTCGGCCAATGCAGGGATCGAGCACGCGACCTCCAGGGTAGCGAGCCAGCGTCTTTCCACATAGACACCTTGCCCCTCTCCCTTCTCCCCAGGATGTTGAAGGGATATATTATAATTCGCCATCAATCAGCATTTAAGACTATGCTATTGAGTATAGTCTGCTTATTACTTTAGAAATTTTGAGAGTTTAAGGTTGCATTATGTAGATTGAGATAGAGTCAAGTTATGAATGTATAAAAATCTGAGAAAATGCAGCGTAGTTTCTTTATCGTAGCAATGGTACATGTACTTGACAATCGAGGTTATGTCTCGATTATCTATTTTAGAAAGCCTAGGCTTAAATGATCGCGGTTTTCTAATCTATTCTTAAGAATGGAACCAGAGAGTTTTTTATGGGCTTGTCATAGTAATTGATATTTAAATAATAATGAATATTTTGAATTTTGGATTTTGGATATGATTTTGATTTAAGGAGTTGCTTCCCTCCGTCTTGGCGTAGTGGAGGAGGGGGGGGGGTATTTGTATTAAAATTGTATTTTGTAATTATTTGTTTTAAGTTCTGATTTTCAATGATACTTTGTAATGATGTTTCTGATATTGGCTATGCATGCCATGAACGGGGTCAAATTACAATTTATTTAACATTTGAAACAAAAAAAAAAACAAAAACAAACAAAAAAACTGCAAAAGAATAGGACGATTTAGCCCATGCTGCGTCTTGGAAAATTCATCTTTAAGGTTTCTTTAAGAGAGAGAGAGAGAGAGCGCTGTATCATAAGGTCTGCCAATGGGTCAACTGGCGGGGTTTCGATTCCCCTGTTGTACGTGACAAGGAGTAGGGTTGCCTGTACAACCTCGTGGGTTTTCTCTGGGTCCTCCGGTTTTCTCCCACTTCTAAATACCCCTACGCGCAAGCGAATTATTGAAATAAAATTGAACCATGTGCTGGTCTCGAAATGACCTAATTTATGTCGAGTGGACGTTAAACCCCATTTCTCTCTCTATCTCTCTCTCTCTGATAATTTGGCCCAAATATTCTACAGTTTCTGTAGCCCATATCCTTTAGTTTTTCCTACAAATTTATGGGAAAATACTACAGTATTCTATAGTTTTTTTTATTGCACTTTCTGTAGGAAATTCTACAGTTATTTATATATTTGTCTAGTAGGTGTGACCGTGATTATTCTGTTGTCTGAATTGGCGAACGAGTTTGCTATTCAGGGGAGAAACAATATGATCGTATGTCATGCATTTGCCGTAAGTTACTGTACTCTTATATCGAATTCCAACTGTCAAGGGATCTTTTACGTGCACGCCAATGTGTACACGGGACCTAGGTTTTTCGTCTTATCTGAACGACTAGACAGCTGTCCTTGTCAGGCCCTCCGCCCTGCAGCACTGACAAAGGGGGCAAACCGAGCCGGAAATCTGGATGAACTTTCTCGGCCAATGCAGGGATCGAAGAATTTGCTACGTTCCGACTAACAACATCAACTTGTTAACTAATGATTGTAGTGTTTGATATTTGAATACATATATACATACAGCGCAGCTGTCCGGGAAAATTTTTCCCATAGCTCTCACTCTGCGTGGCGTATGCCCGTCTTCATTAGCCTAGTCGGAGCAGAACACTAGGTCGCTAAACCCTATTTCATTTCATTGCATTTTATTTCGACTCAGATTCATAACATAGATCACAATATTTTGTGCAGTACAGTCAGGCTGAAACCAGTTATGTAAAATAATTTGGGTAGGCCTATTACGGCCAGTTTGAAATTTTCACGCCATTAAATAATATTTTTCATTACGCCAGAAATATTTCGTGAAGTTCGAAGCTTGTACGCCATTAAACCCCATTATATCTTATATTTTGTATTTTTCAGTATATTATACCTGTTGTTTCTGGACTCACTGCCGCCATCATCCGAACAAAATTAGGTGTAAGAATCAGTTATCAGTCTTTGTATAAATCTAAATTGTTGGTTGTATAAATGAGATGACCCTACGATACAATATCTTTACGAAAGTATGAATCAAACGTATTGCCCCCCCCCCCCTCCAATACATTCCCTTAATGAACGAATCAGCCCCCACAATACAACCAACAATACCATATTAACAGACTAATTAATTACTCAACAGTGCTCGGAAGAGTAAACAGTTGTAAACCCAACACTTGGTTCTCATTGAATTTTAACTACAATCTCTCTCTCTCTCTCTCTCTCTCTTCTCTCTCTCTCTCGCATGATGTTGGTATCTTACTATCCCATCTTTCACATTTGTTATGGTATATTTTTATTTACTTGCAGTACATGACCCACATGGTTTTGGGAATCATTGCCCTTGTTTACATGGCAATATTTTTGGGGCTTGGTATCACTGAGCTTGCTGCTATTGCTGCTTCTCTTCAAAACCAGGAGTGTAAGATCACGAACAATATGTGTATGTGCAGGTATGAAATAGGACTTTTTCTTGGTTCGGGGTAAAAATGACCTTCTCAATGCCTCCTGGGTTTGGTCACATTGAAATCATACCACGTAGCATTTGTAGAAGAATTCGACACATTTGATGAATAGCCCGCTAGGGGTGGATCCTGGAAGTTTTGCAGAAGGGGGGTTTTGGTGTGTGTGTATGTTGGGGGAGGGGGCGGGGCGGAAGAGAGAAATCCAACACCCCGTTTGACGTCAATTTTTATTATGCATTAATAAGATCACATTGTAAATTAATTTCATTGATAAAAAGCATTGATTATGATATCTATTATGTCTTTATCTTGCGCATTGAATGTCCATCCCATCCCACCATCTGATGATAAAGGATAAAGCACACGACCTTGACACTTTTCTCACAAAAGTGTATTGCTTGTGGACGCTCTAGAGGCTAAAGTTAATATCTGGCAGATTTTAAATTTATACATATTGTTTAAGGTCATAAGACGAAGAAGCCTATAGATTTACAAAAATTTCCGATAATTACTTCCAGCCCTATGGCCCTTGATCACGTTGAAAAAACGTGTGGACGCTCTAGAAGCTAAAGTTAATATCCGATTGACTTTAGATTTATACACAGTGTTTAAGGTCATGAGATGGAGAGGCCTATTGATTCATAACAATTTCCAATAATTGCGTCCAGATTTATGACCCTTGATCACTTTTGGACGCTCTAGAGACTGAACTTAATATCTGATTGACTTTAAATTTATACACGGTGTTAAGGGTCACGAGACGAAGAATCCTATTGATTTTCTCCTATTTCCGATAATTACTGTCAGAGTTATGGCCCTTGATCACTTTGAAAAATCTAGAGGCTAAAGTTAATATCCGATTGAGTTTAAATTTATACACAGTGTTTAAGGTCATCGATCACTGCATTGGCCGAGAAAGTTCATCCGGATTTTCCGGCGTGGTTCCCCCTTGTCTAGTCCTACGGATGAGATGAAAAAACCGAGGTCCCGTGTATACATTGGAATGCACGTAAAAGATCCCTTGGCAGTTGGAATTCGATATAAGAGTAGGCGATAGTGCCGCTGCCCGGACAAAATTTCCCTAATAGCACACTGTATGGCGTATGCCCGTCATCATTAGCCCAGCATAGGAGCAGAACAGTAGGACGTTAAACCCAATTTCATTTCATTTCATTTCGTTTAAGGTCATGATACGAAGAATCCTATGGACTTTCAACGATTTCCGATAATTATGAGAAGTGATTACTTTGAGAAATCTTGTGGCTGTGGATGCTCTAGAGATCACAGTAATCATCCGATTTTCGATAGTTCTTGCCAGAGTTATTGCCCTTGATTACTTCGAAATATCTTGCTGATACTCTATAGGCCAAAGTTATCATTCGATTGATTTTAAATATATACACAGGGTTTAAGGTCTTGAGACGAACAATTATGATTATTGATTTTCAATGACTTTTGATAATTTGAACAGCTAAATCTATGATATTAAATGTTTTGTATACTAAACGTTAGCATGGGACAGAACTTGAAGCTAAACGAATTCTAGTGATTTTCTTATAATTACTTAATGAGTTGTTACTCTTAATCAGAATTTACTGTATTGTAACTGTTTCATTACCGAAAAAAGATAAATTATGCGACAACCACCGTTGACTGCCCGGACAACTTAGCTGTTTGGTCGTATGTTTCGTTGCTTATAATTCCAACAAAACAAACAAACAAAAAAGAAAAACAACAAAATAACGTATCTAAGAACCAGAATATTATTTTCTTCGGCCTAATATTATATCAATGTGCTATTGGTTACTTTAAAATCATCAAACCAATTTAATTTCAGGTATTCTGCTGACGATGATTATCTGGCTGATTCAATGCAGTCTTGTAAAATGTTTACTAAAATGAATACTGTTTGCAAGATGGGCGTGGCGACTGTCGTCGTCGTTGGGATTGGGTGGATCTTGCTCTTGATTGAGCTTGTCATTGTTGGTACTGAAACCTGCGAGTCCGTCGCTAAAACTGTCGTTGCTGAAACCTACAAATCCCACCAGGTAAATTGATTTTTAATATAAAAAACGTCTTAGGAATTTTCTTTTCTTTGGTGGGGGGGTGGGAGGGGTAGGTGGCCTAATGGTTTAACAGGTGAACCTTAGATCTTAAGGCCTGTCATCGATAAGAATGCATCAAAATAATCTTCAAATTGATAATATTTTGCATCAGGAGTCGCGGTGGCTCTGTGAGTAAAAGCGTTGACCCGCTAACCTGGAGATCCCTTGTTCCATCCTTGTGTTGGATTGAGAAGGTTCCTCGGGATTTTCCTACATGGTACCCCCTTGTCAGTGGTGTAGGACAGGGGGCTTGGCAAGGGACAACGTATAGTCGTTCGGATGGGATGAAAAACCGAGGTACAATGCCAGTCATGTAAAATTACCATTGACAGTTGGAATTTAAAATGAGCGTATGTCGTAGTCCCGCTGACTAGGCAAACATTTTTCTCATAGCACACTGCATGGTCCTTCTTCAACATACAGATCGCATAGTTTCTCCTTGTCAGTGGTACAGGACGGAGGGCCTAACGAGGACAGTTGTCTAGTCGCTCGGATAGGACGAAAAATCGAGGTGCCGTGTACACATTGGCGTGAACTCGGGCCTGTTATCCTCTGCATCAGAAACGTGTAAACAATCGGTAGCTTAAATTTACCTTAAATAATGAATGCGGTATATGTGCTATTTATTGTTACAAGTGTAACAGTTGGAAACGGCAAGACTGCAGGTTTGTACATCTGTTTAGCTTCTGGATCAAATGCATCTTCAATAGAAAGTTTGAACTCGCTTTAACTCCTAAAATCCCTTCACGTAATACCTTCCATCTTTCCTCACTAATTTTAATTGGCTACTGACCCAGCTGGAGACCTCTCAGATACCTCGATAGAAAATGTTGCCAATAACAAGTCTCGCGCTTTCCAGCTAACATGTCTACCTGTGATAATCGAGTTGCAAAGTCGTTCAATGTCAAGCTTTCCTTGGAGGTCGCCATGTTTGATTTGAGTGTGTTTGTGTCACGACCTCTGATCGCAGGGGCGGATCCAGGAATTTTTGCAGGAGGGTGGGGGGGTGTCAGACTCCTGTTAAGGAAATTGGACAGTTGACAATGCATGATGCCGTCATCGTCTCTAAATTACGTAGGCATACATACACATTGCGCTTTTTAAAGAGGGAAATCCAACACCCCGTTTGATGCCAATTTTTATAATGAATTAATAGGATCACATAGTGATTCAATTGCATTAAAGCAAAGCATTATTGTGATATCACACATGTCTATAAATGCCAAACCCATCCCACCATCTGATGATAAAAGATAAAGCACGCGACCGTTAAACTTTTCTCATAAAGTGTTGTTTAACAATTTTTGTATGTAGCTGATCAGTGTGGGGTTTGCCCCCCCCCCCCCCACGCCCCTCTTGACCCGCCCCTGGATTGGACAACGCTATTGTTCATGTGTCTGCGGTAAAAGGAGTTAACTTGTCTATTAGTTCGGGAATTTCAGACTATTCTAGCAATGGCTAGATGTTGTAAAACTCGCGGTCATTGCATCAGGATCCTACAACAAGTGATGATGTCGGCGGAGAAAGCAGACATTAAGAGATATTTTAAAATCCCCGCTCAACAGCAGTACAAAAAGCAAACATCGGTATAAATGAGAGGTGTTTTATTCATCGTCATCATGTTTCTGGTTAAAAGACCCTTTATCAAATTTTAACACTTAATTATAAAACCAATATTGGTTTGTTTCAGCGTGCTGCCTTTGTTCGTGATCCAAGCGAGACAAAATTTGTTGGCTCGGAAGACACCGCTGCACCATCTGCCGACAACATCAATGACAGGGCGTTACTTCTCAAAAATTATTAAAGATACATCGAAGGATTGTTTTTGTAATAACTCAATTATTGTCATGTGTGTGCTAGGACAAATGCTCTGTAAGATTAAATACAATAAGAAATGTTTGAATCCTAAGGCAAAAATATATGGCTGATTGTGATATTCCAACTTGCAAATCTAGCTAAAAAAAATCACCCAACATCCCATACTGCACGCAGCGACCCATCTACGTCATACCTCCCAGAATGTGACACTGCACTGATTATCCGCCATTTATAACGCTCATGTGATCATTTTGGGGCGGGACTTATCGACTCGATACCTCTTTGTTTAGACAACAGAGTAAAAATAACCCACGCACGTGTGTTTTATGTAAACACGGCATGTCGCTGACACTCGCGTAAAAGCGATATATAATATGTGCTATGGGTAATATTGCAATAAATTCTTTACCATTGTAAACTGTCTTTAGAGTTTCAATCTGTTTATCTTTCAAAACAAGGTTAGATACTCCTAAATTTGTTTTCGCAAACAAAACCGCCTCTGTGAAATTATGTTTCATGGGCGCTGCCATATTGAATAATTAGAGAACTATTTTGTGATTCGGCTTTGATTAGTTTGACATCTTTCATACACACAGCGGCTCAATAAACATATTTAATTTCATTCAATATGACAATAGAAGAGAAATAAATACTTTTAAAAATTTCTAAAAGCATACTCAGTGTTTTCGACTAAAATCGTCGATGTAGGAATTTAAATGTCGGTTAATTAGCTTAGGGCTTATTCTCAGCCGGAGCTAGCTGTAGATAGGCAGCCTAAGTTTGGGATGCCAACATCCTTTTATTGATAGTCTTTCTTTTTTTCGCTAAAATAAAAATAAACCAGAACGAAAATAAAAATGATCTTCCTCAACCAGAAATGAGCATTTGCATTAAATGACAATTTGCTTGATATTTGATTAAATGGATTCTTTTTGATATATATTTTACACTAATTACAACACTGATCACTTATTGGGCCCAGTCTTGTCTGATAATGTCTTCACATTAACATGTATGGCAGGAAGCTTGAATTGTTTTAAACAAGCATTATGCAAGAGCTAAATCTGTATGGAAGGATATCGCTGCCAATATTAAAAGCTCTGCTAAAATGTAATAAGAAAAATGTAAAATGTAGACACGTCAAAACAGCATTTTCCAATAAAACATTTGACATTTGACACATTGCATTTGATGTTTTACATTTAACTTTGCCCTTCGAGGTATTTTGACTTTATCATTACCGGCATTAAGACTTTGTACATTGAACTTTTTACATATAATCAAGCAGAGCATTTAATATTGGCAGCGACATCCTTCCATAAACCTGCCTATATCAAGTCTTTCTTTAGGTCTTAAATGTTATCTAAATTATTAATTAGACATTAAATAATTTACTACGACCATAATCAACTCTCGATGCCATCGGATGGCTGCGATGTTAAGTGGATTTGAATTCGATTTGTGCCGGATGAAATAACCGTAAACATGATTTGAAAAGATTTAAATGTTATGGCTCTGTGTTCGAAAACAAGATAACAAAACGTTAAAAAGTGACTAAAAGAATTTTTTTCATGTATGTAACCATTATTTTCAGACTTAAAGGTAGTAATGTTGTCGGTGTATGGCATTCTTTTTTAAACACGATTCTCCCAGTCCCCTAATGCGCTTCAAAAAGGGTGCTTCTCGCAGTCCCCAAATCACAGTATCTATCAAACAAAATCCTCAAATTAGTTGACAGGCAAATTGTTTCAATTTGCAATAAGTGACACCATCAAATGATATTATTATCTTATATATTTAAAGAGTATTTCAGGTATTGTGGTTCTTTATATGATATGAGAGGCTAATTATAATGAAAAACATTATTTGTACATACAAAGATGTTGCTATGTTTATATACTAACGTCCAAAAGAAAGTATACACTGTGCATTTTGTGCTGCATCAACCAAAGTCGTTTTTCCATGGTATACGGTATTAGGGTAGAATGTCAATTTGTTTCACATTTTTATTTGGCTTAGAAATGTTGAGTTTGGACGCAAGAGACAAACCCAGTAATGCTTTATCAAATGTTTTAAATCTAAACAAAACTTAGTCATACTTTTAGTGTGTATACTTTCTTTTGGACGTCAGTATATATAGATAATGTTATTTACTTCTCTTTACACCATTACAGAGAAGCTAATTGTATATCATATCAATATATCAGAGTGTTTTTATCCCTTGCGTATTCATCCTCGAGTTTTGGTTTCCCATCCAATTTATTTTTACTCTATTTCTTATGGATCGTTTTTTTTCCTGGAATTTAAAGGCTAAGGTGTTAATTTTTATTTAGTCACTCGAGTGTGACAGTTTATATTTTGGCAAACCTTTCCTTTTATCACCTTGTCCTTTTTTTGTAATCTCCCATTTTCACATTTTGTCTCTTTTTAGATTCTCCCAATATCTCATCTTGCACACTTTTGAAAACTCCCAAATTGTCATCTTGCACCTTTTTGGAATCGTACTATTTTTAAAGATTTTTTTTTTAAAACAGATATTTGTAGTTCTGTATAATATAAGATTACATGATATTTTCCTCTTGAAAAGAATTGAAAATATTTTATTATTTGAAACTTTATTATGCTTGCTGTAATATTTTTGAGGAAATAAACATATAATTTTTTCATGTTTGTTTAGACTTGCCCTTGTCTTTAAAATCAACTGGTGTATGATCTGGGAGCCGTGGCGGCTCAGTGAGTAAGACGATGGCTCGCTAACCATGAGGTTCTGTGTTCAATCCTGTGTCGGATGAGAAAATTCATCAGTGCTAAGGGAGAGGGAAGCAATGACGAGCTTTGCGTCATGGTTATCCGTTGTTGCGCCCCCTGGAAAATGGCAAAAGGTCACGTGGTTTTCAACATAATCATAATGCTTAACCAGTGTCAAACATATACCGGGGGTCAGATATGCTGCAAAACGACTCTAGCATGTTCCACACAGTCCAATATTACCAGGCGGCACGGGTAGCCCCCCCCCCTCCCCGCACATATATAAATATTGTTTCTTTAGGGCCCGGACGGGATCTTGTTTGTCACGCAAAAGCCTTGGTCACCACGCCCCTTGGCTCAGGACAAAATGAAATGAAATGGGGTTTAACGTCCTGCTGTTCTGCTCCTATACTGGGCTAATGAAGACGGGCATACGCCATACAGTGTGCTATGAGGAAAATTTTGCCCGGGCAGCGGCACTATCACCTACTCTTATATCGAATTCCAACTGCCAAGGGATCTTTTACGTGCATTCCAATGTATACACGGGACCTCGGTTTTTCGTCTCATCCGAATGACTAGACAGCTGTCCTTGTCAGGCCCTCCGTTCTGCATCCACATTGGTGTGCACGTACAAAAGCCCTTGACAGTTGGAATTCGATATAAGAGTAGGCCGTAATGCCGCTGTCGTCAGACAGTTGGTTAACCAATCAGCTTTGGTGTTTCTAGTGGGATACCCGCAGTTCCGTGCACCGCTCGCCAAGAACTCGACTTATCCCTCGCATCAACCAGAACGTGGGTTATATAACATCTCTTCCAGGTGGCTAGATCTATTTGTTAAGGCCAACCCAAGGTCGCTAATATGTAAATAAGGTTAGGGCACGGGATTGTAGGTTAGGTTTAAGAATTTGGGGGAGAGGTTTTAGTCTCCACATAAGCACTGGCCTAGGATGATGAAAAATTAGTTCGTGATATTTCCTAGTTTTATTAAAAATACATACAATACATTAGATTTATATACAAAAACGATTTCACTATTTTTTGGTGTTGGTGGCGCTGATGGTCTTCCTTGGATGGTGCTTCTGGTATTCTGGTATTTTTGTTTCTGAAGAAAAAAGAATAAATTTGAGGCTCTCGGGGTAGAGCCACATTAGTGTGTTTCTTACTACGGATTAGATTTTCTAAAAAATCGTATTTGTTCCACATCACCAGGTTAGGGCTAGGGATTCTTCTATCTAGTTAATTTTATTTACTAACGGTTAGGGATAGGATTTGATATATGGTTTGCTTTGGGTAAGAGTGGAGACTGGTCTTATTTAATCTAATTTACTGTGCACTAGGATGTCGTTCAGATTTTTATTTTTAGAATATGCAATTATAAGTTTCTGTGTGAAGATTTTCGGGTGATTTTCTTGGAGATCAGTATAGTGTTGGATGCACTTGCTGCTGTTGCGCTAAATGGAACTACAAAAGGGGCTATAATTGCGCTAGCCGTATGAATATTCAAACCTAGGGGGGCTGTTGTTTTCAATTTGTCAATCCAGAATTTTTCTCTTGTTAGCCTAAACGTTTTAATTTCTTCTGTAGTTTCAAAGTCGCTCTTGGTCTTTTCTATCGGCCTGACAATGAGATCAGAAATGTCATGATTTGGTTGGTTGAAATGAATTGAGACCGGCTTGTCTTTTTTGGTGACTATGTCTGACCGGTGACCGTTAATTCTTTCTTTAAGTGCATTTTGAGTCTCCCCTACGTATTGCTTGTCAGGTTGTCTACATGAAATTAGTTAAATTATGTTTGAACTACTGCACGAAAGTTGGTCTAATATTGGGAATTGTGTGCCAGATGTTTTGTTATGAAAATGGTCGGATATGTTTATAATTTTGCATGTTTGACATCTCGGATGGCCACAAGTTTTTGTTTCAACTGCTGATTGCATATTATTTGTTCCTTTGGCGGCAAGTTCAGCTAAAGTGTTGTTTTTTATACGTCGCAGATAGCGTTCGGAGTATCCCCTTTCTCTTAGTTTGCTAAATACCAGCGTACATGCTGACTCAAAGTCGGTCATCTGAGTGCATGTCCTATGAAAACGGAGAATCTGAGATTTTATGATGCCAGAGAAGATATGTTTGGGGTGAAAGGAGCTCTTGAACAATAATTGATGAGTATCGGTTTCTTTAAAAAATACTTTAGTTTCCAGCTGGCCTGTTTTTTTGGTGTTCCTACTTTTAAAGACGGTGGTATCAAGGAAATCTATGCTGTTATGACTTACATTTGCGGTTAATTTGAAAGATGGATGATGATTGTTCAGAAACGAAATAGGGTCTGTGTTTTGATCAGATTGATAGTAATTCTTTGACAACATTTTGGATTGTAATTTCAGTTGAATTTGGTCTAGGTATGAAGAAGAGTGTTTCAGTTTATATTTCCTGGCAGAGTTTGGTGAATATTCATGATTTTTGGACAAAAGGATCAGGGAAATTCACATCCAGGAAGTCGCATGGATCGGGGGAAATCACGTACAAGTCGTCGCATCCTATACAGATTTAAATTTTTTTTTTATCAGCATGATTGTGACATGTTGGGCTCTTCGTAGTGATAAACGAAATTTTAAAAACAAAGCTACAGTAATGGGTGGATTTAAGATTGAAGTCATTGAGTCCATGGGGCTTTGGTCTGATTGTAGTTATTTCTCTTTGTAGAAGTCTACTGGACTGTCACAACCCTGCGGGTTTTTTTATACGCCCACATTTTTATGTGGACGTATATTGTCGTCGCCCCTGTCCGTCCGGACGTTCGTCCACAATTTGTTTGTGGACACTCTACAGGTCACAATTCTTGTCCGATTTTGACGAAACTTGAAATATAGGTTTATCTCCAAAAGATTTCGGCTGCTTTCGATATTGGCATGTATCGGATCGAAACTTCATGGATTATGGCCCCTGTCACAATTTTTATCCGATTTTGTTGAAACTTGAAATGTAAGTTTATAACCCAAAGATCTCGATTCCTTTCGATATTCGTGCATATCGGACCGTAACTTCCTGAATTATGGCCCTAGATGGTACGAAAAATCACGTTTTTAGCTTGTGGACCCTATAGAGGTCATAATTTTTATCCGATTTAAAAAATCGTATTATTATATCACAGTTACACCCTAAGGACGGCTGAGTTCGAATTTCGTGAAAATCGGCCCAAAACTGACAGACAAAATGGCCGCCCTTCGTTCTCAAATAGCGTAAAAATATAGTATATCTAGGTTGTGGACCCTATAGAGGTCACAATTTTTATCCGATTTTGTTGAAACTTGAAATGTAAGTTTACAACTCAAAGATCTCGGTTCTTTTCGATATTTGCGCATATCGAATTGTAATTTCCTGAATTATGGCCCTTGATTGTAGGAAAAATCACTTTCTTTTTAGCTTGTTCTCTATCCATCTCTCGAAAATGTGGGCATATCCTGCCTGGCAGCCGCTGGTTTAATTCTATTATGATAAGGACTAGGTTAAACTGTCGATGTCGGTGATTCTCCAAATACTGCGAATGGCGAACGGCAAAAAATAGGGATAATGCGACTTGATGATTAGGATTCCTTTATTCCCGGCACAATGCCGGGAAAGATAATGGTCGTCTAAAATCAGGGCATATGGCATGCATTAGACGCCGAACGTGGGCAAAATATCATCAGGTGCTCAAATCTGTCCAAAAGAATAAAGATAAGATACCCTCTTACAAGATAGCTGAAAACCTATTGACTAATAGAACCAGAGATTTCTGGAAAGAAATTAACAAAATCAATAGCACACCCCACTCCTTGCCAAACAATATTGACGGCCAGATTGGTTGCGAAGATATTGGAAATATGTATGCACAAAAATACGAACGTTTGTGTTTCATTTGATAATAATGATTTGTCTTTGATGTTAACTGTCCTGATTACACACGGCATTTCTTCACCTCATAACTTTGTATTGTCTGCTATTAAATCTATTCCGAAGAACAAAAAAATGGTCGTTAAATTCCTCGGATAATTCCCGTGGTATAGCCCTCAGCAGTATAGTTGGCAAGCTGTTTGACTGATAATCCTTGATAACAACTGTAACAGACTAAAGAGCTCTGACTTGCTACAACAGAAGAAACTCTTCTGTCTTTGTCATTCTTTTAGACACCTGTCACGCATTTGACCGTGTGAATTACATAAAACCCTTTAAATTGTTTCTGAAACGAGGATTATGTCTTTTAATTACTAGATTTTTATTGTTTATGTACAATAGATGTGGTAATTATATAACTGATTCATTTAATATCACAAATGGTGTTAAGCAAGGGGGGGGGGGATGCCGCCCATTTTATTTACCATCTACATAAACGAACTTGTTAAAGGGTGTAATAGTAACAACTCCGGTTTAAGATTGGGACTGTATACGTAGGGGCTATAGCGTGTGCAGATGATGCAAATTTGAGAACACATAGTAGGCAGGCATTATTCAACCTTATAGATATAGCAATTAGTTTTTCAAATGAATATGATATAAAATTTAACTGCAAGAAGTGCAAGTTAGTTGTATTTAATCCCACATCGTGTTGTGATGATATAATTAAAGATATTTTTCTTGATGATAAACTCATTGAACATGTCAATTCCGAAAACACTTAGGAAATGCACTCAGCACTGTATTTAGTTCTGAGATTATTGAATCTTTTATTTAAAATTTTCAGACAAAAGTAAATGTAATAAGTCCTACTGTTCTGCTCCGAACTGGGCTAATGAAGACGGGCATACGCCATAAGTGTGCTATGAGGGAAATTTTGTCCAGAGAGCGACACTACGGCCTACTCTTATATCAAATTCCAACTGTCAAGGGATCTTTTACGTGCACGCCAATGTATACAGGGGACTTCGTTTTTTGTCCCATCCGATCGACTAGACAGCTATTCTTGTCAGCTTAAGAATTGTAAAGTTGTTTTTCCACGGATTATATATAAGTTATCAATCTGATAAAACACAGATCCTATTTTGTTTCGTTTTCATAGTTCAAAATTTCGTTTTACTTGTCTTTACTACACTAGGATCTGTTAGAGTTGTTATATAACCCGTGTTCTGGGTGATGTGAGAAATTACCAATGAAACGGTCTGTTACAGCGAGTTTTTGGCGTGAGGCGCACAGAAGTGTGGGTAATCCACTAGAAACGTCAATGCTGATTGGTTAGTCAAATGAGAAAACCCACGAGGTTGGACAGGAGACCCTACTCCTTGTCACGTACAAACGGGGAATCGAAACCACGCCAGTTGGTCAATGACAGACTTTATGATCAGCGCGCACGTGCTAACCATTCACCCCCCCCCCTTTCCTACGCCAGCATTAAAAAAAAACGAAACGAAATAAAGATCTGTATTTTAATCAGATTGTATAAGTTATTTAAGTCTTATTGTATGCCTCTTTATGGATGTCAGTTATGGGATTACTTCCATAAAAGCGTCGCTGTTTTCTTTTGTGAATGGCGAAAAGCCATTCGAAAAATATGGAATACTAGCAGGATACCCGGCTTCGCTCGGGGGTCATAACTCCGAAACCGGAAGTGGTAGACTAACGCCACCTGGCCTATGTTACTCCCCCATACCCCAATTTCAGACTCGGGGCAGACCTAGTGTAGCCGCCAACCCCGAACAGACCGGCTTCGCTCGGGGGTCATAACTCCGAAACCGGAAGGGGTAGAATAACGCCACCTGGCCTATGTTACTCCCCGGTCCGAGCTACCCCTATACCCCAAATTTCAGACTCGGGGCAGACCTAGTGTAGCCGCCAACCCCGAACAGACAGACAGACAGACAGACAAACGACAGTCACAAATATATATATAGAAGATACCTCAACGGACACACTATAATTATTGAATTTGATCTGTTCACAGTATTCTACTGACGCACAGCTTCGCAAAAGGTATTAAAAGTTCGTCAAGGGTACTCCCAGTAGTAAAAACAGATGTACAAACATTTGTCCTCATACGTAACTAACGTACGAAAATTAAATGGTAGCTGGCTTTTTTTTTTTTTTTGCTGCAGTTTGGGCGAGTCTGTCGTTCAGATTGATTTGTCCTAGTTGGCTGTACACGGCAGTCAGTCAACTCTGGGTAACGTACAGTTTAAATTATATTTGTCACTAATATGTCTCTTAGTAAAATTTTATCTACAGAAAATAAAATCGACATCAATTCAAAATCAGAGAATGATAAAAGACAGGCGCCATCAGAGATTTTATATCTTTATGAGAAAACGGGAATTATTGTGAACTTTGTACAAACTGAATTTAACTTTATGTATATTAACGTCAGATTTATGGTTGTATTGATACTTTTGTAATTGTACGAATAAATTATTTTTAACCCATTCAACATGTTCATGTTATAGGCTACTGGACCGTGACAGTTAATCCCTTCAACCGTCAACGTGATAGCTGCACGCGCAATGAATGCCAGTTAAAAATAGATATTTTGCAATAACTCTGTGATAGTCATTGACTGAACGCGCACAATGTGAGATCCGCGAAGCCAAAATTTCTTTAGTAGTGATTGGTTATACGAGTCACGTGAAACACAATATTGGCAAATAATTTTATAAAAAGCTAGTCCGTGCCGCCATTAGTGACATTGGTGAAGTATTGCACAACGATTAAGAAGTACATCATAGTTAAGGAATTGAAGAAAATAGGCAAAATGACAGCTCGAGGTTCAAAGAACATTGCTTCCCTGGTACTTTCCTCTATAATTCTTGCCGCAGGTTTGTAAATTATGAATCTTTATTTCGTTATTGGTTTGCGAAATTCTTTGTTCACCTTACATTGAATGTTGCTGAACAGAATGACGCGTGGGAAAGATAAGAAATGAATAACATTTAGTTCTTAATCCAAGTTTACTTACAGGTGTTCGGTACTTGGAACAAACAAGAATACCCGTATTCAATTGGTTACCGCGGCAAATCTGGTGAATTCGAGGTCTTAAGTTATTTCCATCCACAACATCATGGAGTAAGATTTACTTTTTAATTGCGTCATTTACCCATTTTACAGGGCGAAAAAACAAAAAGAAATGACAAAGTTAGTATCTGAGAGCAATTTAGCGAGCTAGTTGAAAGGTGAAACCATGTTAAATCAATGTAAAGAATTTATTCCTATTCCATATCTATAGAAAACAGTATGGAAATAATGCGAAAATAGAGAAAATTATAACATCAAACCTTGTATCGTATGATTTAGATACATGTTAATGTATGTAACATTTACACTGTATTAGGAGTATAATGTACGTATAATTGTGATTATGATCTATATCATGGTCATTATCAGAAATAGTTACATCCAGTCAATTGGAAAGGGACTGGGTCAGTGACAGTATAATTAATTTGAAAATTTTCGTGATGTAAAAGAATTGAGTCAATTGTTACTTTTTTCATTTTTTTTTTTTCAAATGATCAAAAAGTCAGTTGGTATTTTTATCTTAATTCAAAGACAAATGACTGTTTTATGTAAAATACACCGTTTTGGAAATATATTATTCAGGGCTTGCAACGAGCAAATTGGAGGCGAGTAGATGACTACTCACGCAAATATAGACTTGCGCGAGTGAGGCGAGTACATGTATTTACTCACGCAGAATGATGTGCGTAAAGCTTATACAGGTAAAAGAACAGGCAAAACAATTTCAATCACATCAATTTGCAGAAAAGATGCGGGATCGAAAGAATTGCTATGGAAACGACAACATCCGCTCAATTTTTGATTATCCAGACATGGCAAAGGACATCCGCTTAAAAACCGCCTGGCAGTACGCGTCTCAAAGTATTTTTAGTAACAACTGGTGGCACTGGAAAGACACGCCGCGTGCGCAACAGTGCATCAATATGAAGGCATACAAATTGTTTCCGCCTTTTTTTTTTTTTTTACGATATTCCATTATTTCTGATTAAATTATTTTTTATATTTGCGCGAGTACTTAATCACTCACGTAAATTTGGTTTTACGCGAGCGTAGTGTGCGCGCGAGTAATTACTCGCGTCTCGTGGCAAGCCTTGTTATTTTTTTTCAAACAACTGAATTCCCAACCACAAACCAGGATATGTCTCCCATTTTGGATTGGGTAATCCTCAGCTAGTACTTGAGTTTCACAGACGTAGCTTCTTGATTAGTATTGTAAAGGATTTATGAGGATGTTAAATCCTACCAGGATGTTGATAAATCGGGTTAACTAGCAGGACTTAAAGGAGCACATTGAATAATTCGTCATTAATAAGCTACTGAATATATATTATGCCGTTTACCTTAGAAATTTTAAGAGTTTTTAAATATACTTTCTGGAAGAGTTAGATAAAGAGCCTGCTGTTCAAAAATAGGTAATGAATATTGAAAATTTAAAACAACTTTATTCATTTTAGCTATGTTAGTTTTTACATAAATAATGAAAATTCAATATAGGCTATATTGAAAATTTCAATGGAAATACTTTATTCTGTGCGAAGTTATGAATGCTTGAATTTTGTGAGATAATATAGCTTAGCGGTACTTGACAATCAAGGCTCTCATCTATTTTTATGAATTCTTAAATATTCTAATCTGCATGTACTTAAAAGCCAAGTCATCTGATGTTCTGTAGAGTTGATTATGAACATGTCATGTGAATAAGTTTCTAAGTATAACTAAGATCTGAAGACAAAGACCAGCAATAAACAGATTTAGCTCTTACATAATAATACATCTTTAAAAGGGTGAAACCTCAGTAACTTTACCTCTTTGTTATATTTAAATTGATTGGGATGTTTAAACAAAATTGATGTACTGGAAGTACCGTAGGCTAATTGGTTAGGATATTTACACATAATGTGGTTAATAGACATTTTATAAATCCTTCTTTAAGCTTATTGTGGAAGGCTTGGCATTAACCATTGTTACATGTAGGCCTACCTGTGTATGAATGTCACTACCTACTACACGTTTGACCTATTTTTAATGTATGGTTTTGTAGATAAAGAATTAAAATTAAAGCCTGCAGTCAAAACAGACCCTCAGGGTTTACATTGGGACAAGTTATAATTAGATCTTAGTCAACAATAGGTGATTGTGTAGACTACATTATTCACACTGCAATCAAGTGTTCTTATTCAGTCAATTGATTTAATCTAAATAATAGCTATCAAGTCCTATATGGATCATTGTTTTTTTGTACGTCCACATTTTCATGTGGACGTATATTGTCGTCACCCCTGTCCGTCTGTGTGTCCACAATTGTTTGTGACCAGTCTACAGGTCACAACTTTTATCTGATTTCAAGGAAACTTGAAATATAGGTTTATCACCCTAAGATCTCGATATTGGCATGTATCGGACTGTAACTTCATGGATTATGACCCCTGGTATACAAAAAAATCACGTTCTTAGCTTGTGAACACTGTACAGGTCACAATTTTTATCCAATTTGGTTCCTTTCAATATTCGCGCATATTGGAACGTAACTTCCTGAATTATGGCCCCTGATTGTACGAAAAATCACGATTTTAAAAAAACGTATTATACCCCTTGTTCTCACATAGCGTAAAAATATAGTATATCAAGGTTGTGGACCCTGTAGAGGTCACAATTTTTATCCGATTTTGTTGAAACTTGAAATGTAAGTTTATAACCCAAAGATCTCAGTTTCTTTCGATATTTGCGCATATCGAATTGTAATTTCCTGAATTATGGCCCTTGATTGGAGGAAAAATCACTTTCTTTTTAGCTTGTTCGCTATCCATCTCTCTAAAATGTGGGCGTATCCTGCCTGGCAGCCGCTGGTTTTATTTTTAGGCCGAAAGAATCTACAATAGGTAGATTTAGCTCTTATTACAGATGCATTATGTATATGTAAAAACTAAATCTGCCTATTGCCGGTCTTAAAATGTTGTATAAATTATTATTTAGACATTTATTCACATTACAAGAACATACACCGTAATCAACTCACTTGACCATTGAATGGCCCGGATTTAAATGGATTTGATCACTCCCGAGGCATAAAAATTTAACAATAAAATATATAAGTGTGACTTGTACGATAAAGATTTACACAACATCTTCAAAACAATCATAACTTTTCCCAGATTGAAGTAATTTTGATGGAATTCCGTCTTTGTGAACTATTAGGACTGTCAACTCTTTATCTGAATCTTTAAAATACAGATGTGACGTTATTTCAAATAATGGTACGGGCAATGTCTCAAGCGTATATTATTTGTACTAGTTGCAATATTGGACCTGCATGACAATTAAATTGAAATGCAAATACTGTATTTTAATTTGTTTAATGGTCTTGTGCAAGACATTGCGTAATACATGTATATAGATACAGCTCTCGTGCTATCGACCGTACAATATCAATATATTACTTAAAGTAGCTAAGTCTCTAACTCAATATCATCCAAAGTCTTACACTTTGAAAACACAAATTATTTGTCAATTCAAATCAATATTGATGTTGCTATCTTACCAGGAAAAGGTAGGCTTCAGATATCCAATATTTAAGACAAAATAAATATTTTACTATTGGTACACGAATCGTGTACCATAGTGCGTTTCATCGTCATTTGTAACAAGTGACCAGAAAGAGCGAGGCTAGACATATTCCACAACTCATGTCATACGGCAACGCCATAACTTATCTGGAGAGCATGTGCATTAGACTGGAATAACCAGACGCTTGAAATTTCTATTTGGTTGTGACTCGTGCCGTATTTCGCTGGACCTAACTGATTTGAAATTAGTCAAAACGGAAACAATTGAATGTAAATCAGTTTATATACAATCAGATTACATTATTATATGCGTTGCGACCCATTTGGGTCAATTTCTAGGTCCCAAATATTAGCGATTTAGCTCCTTTAATGTTGACCATTAAAGATACATTATGGGAGATTAGATAACGAGTTGGCAGTTCTCACTATAATACTTAAAAACTAGATAATGTAAAGGCAATTTGCTGAAAATTTCAGTCAAATTGATCCACTATGAACCGAGAAATAGTGATCGAAAGTTCTGCATAGCCTCGGTCATCATTACTAAAGTCGGTACGACAAAAATCATAGTCTCGATTATCCATTTAATCGTTAAATCGAGAAAGAAAGTTATGCAGCAAATCGCATCACAATCCAGTGACCGCCATAGACATTCGCCAATGGCGACAATTATTTTTATTGGCGAATAAAGTGATGATACTGGCGAAAAATTTGGCGAATGAATTTTAGAGTGTTATTTCGTAAATCTGCTAATATTAAACTTGAAATCGTCTCGTTAAACGCTTCTTTCGATCGACTCGATTGAGTGTCTTTTTAGTACATTAATTACTCTAGTCTCAAACTTACAAGTCGCAAATCATTCAATGTAAAAATTACAATGTTACGCATTTTAAAAAAACGACACTGCGTGGCACTGCGTTGTTTACATTCGCTTCACTACAAGTTTTCTTTACTTACGCAGCAAATAAATAAAACGCACATTAATGACAACTAATACTAGTAAACCCAAAATAAGGATAGATTACTTTTTCCTTCCTACGGCTACTGTTAGTCCAGAATCTACTTCCGTGAGTGAGCGTGTCATCTCGGACGCAAGTCCTTCGTAATCGTTGGCTTCATCAACATGTGGACAAAATTAGACCTTTAACCGAGACCGTCGAGCTAACCCTCAATGACCTCATGCTTATAAAAATGGATGGGCTGGAACAAATAAATTTCAAATTTGTCAGAGCATTTGATCAGTAGTGTCTTAAAAAGAATCGTTGTGTCTTTTCTGTTTTGACGATGAAGTAAATTAAATCATGTGACTTGTGTACTACGTCCTATAAACATTTTTTTTTGTTATCTGCATTCATTCTCTCAATAATGTGAACTTTTGCATGGACAAGGAGATAAAAAAATATTCTTGTGTACTATATACATGTAAGTACATATTAAACATTTATTTTGTCTGCGATATCACCTCGGTGGAAGCGGACGTAAAATACAAATAACACACACATTTATTTTCATTTTTAATTAACAAACATATGAATAAAAATGATATAAAATATTTGGCTAAAACTTTCTGAATTGGCTAATAAAATTTTGATTTGGCTAAAGGTTTTAAGAGTCTAGGGCGGTCACTGACAATCCAACAATTATCGCAGGCTAGCGTTGACATCGAGAGTTGATTATGGTCTGGATAAGTTAATTAATGTCTAAATAATAGTTTATATAACATTTCAAGCCTGAAAAAAGACCTGCAATAGGCAGATTTAGCTCTTGCATAATATATGTTTAATCTACACTTAAAAGTGGTTTATATTCACATGTCCCATTTATTATGGCTTGTTGGGCTTTGGTTTATTAAGATGGTTTATATTTGTCTTGCAGGTGTGTCTGTGTGTGTTCTGTTATATGAATTAGTGAAACAGATTGCCGTAGAAGCTGTGAAGGAGATGCGCCATAGTGACCAAGATAATGAATACTCTTCTTTGAATTCGGATCAGGTCACAAGCAAAGCATTCAATGTTGCGGGACCATTTTGGCTTCTTGGATTCGGCGTAAGTTACTGTTGGTTTCTCTTGAATAAAATGTTTCGTGGCTGGGGAGGGCCGAGGAGAGAAATGGAGTTTAACGACTCAAGTTAGGTAGAGGACACCCCCCCCCCCCCAACCCAAATGTTAAAATAATCATTTATTGTTTGGGGGCAAGCCTTGAAATAACTGCTAAGGTTCAGCCTGACATCATGTCAGGCTGAACTGATTTTCGGCCGGACATTTCAGATTTTCAGCCTGACAAATACTTTATAAAGTATATTAAACCAAAAAACTGTTGAAATTTACTATGTTTATATATATTATTATACATACATTTATTAATAAAATAAATTGACTCACATACAACCTGGAGTTTTAAGTTTTTATATGTATATAGTTCATATAATAATGTCATTAATCTCTTTGGTGGGGCTGGGGACTAAATCCTAAAAACTCTGATTAAGATTCAAATTTAACTAAAGAATAGACATCTTGAGTTGTCGTAAATGGTTCAGAATCTGCCATGTCATTTTTGATCCACTTTTCTACGGTTCGTGTTTGTAATTTTCGAACTGGTGACGGCCCCCGTTTAGAAGTGTCTTTATGAGAGACATAAGATTAAGACACAGTACCAGTCTTTGAATTTTCTGGAACGGTCCCACTAGCCGGGATATCCGTTTCCGAGGGTTGGGAAAAGTAAGAAGTTATTTTATTCGACATGTTTTCATGGCTCTTCTATTTACATTCACATTGGAAGTGTCCAACAAAGTGAGATATTTTCGTATAAAAAGTCTGTCCCAAATTACATCCATAGTCAACTTGGACATTTTCTTGTAAACTAATTTTAAAATATTATTACTTTTATTACTAATAATTTATATAATTACATGTCATGTTGGGTGTGATTTAGAGCTAATCATATATGAAAGTAACGCAAAGCTAGCTACGAGATATGAATAACCAGTGTAAAAGAGCCGATTCTCAATATTATTCATTATTTTATCTTCACGCGGCCGAGAGAGATACATGTATAAATAGTAATATTTTTACTATGACTCGGGTCATTGATATAACCAGCGTAAAAGAGTCGATTCTAAAAATTATTGAAGATTTTATCTGCACGCGGCCGAGATATAAATAGTAACATTTTCACTATGACTCTGGTCATTGATATTTTTGGTTCTGGACTTTCGAGTCTAATAATAGATAGCGATCGACTCGAATATTTTTGACTTAATGATTTACAAAAACACGGTCGGACAATTATGTCCGGACGAAAGGCAATTTGGCCTGTCAAACGGGGTCAATTCGCCCGGACATTGTCCGTGTCCGGACACTTATTTCAGCGCTTGTTTGGGGGGGAGCAGGGAATTTAAAATATGAACATCAAAGGATCTCTTTTATGGGTTATGTAGTCAATACATGTACCAGGTGCTGTGATTCTAACCAGATGGGGGGGGTTGGATGGCCGAATGGTTAGCGCGCGCTGTATCATACGGTCTGTCATTGAGTCAACTGGCGGGGTTTCGATTCCCCGGTTGTACGTGACAAGGAGTAAGGCCGCCTGTCCAATCTCGTGGGTTTTCTCCGGGTCCTCCGGTTTCTTCCTACTGCTAAAGACGCCTACGAATGATTGAAATAAAATTGAACCATGTGTTAGTCCTGAAATGACCTAGTTTGTGTCAGGTGGACATTAAACCACATTTCTCTCTCTCTCTCTCTCTCTCTAACCAGATATTGCCAAGAAAGTTCCCCAGTAATATTGAGAGATGGGGTTTAACGTCCACTCAACCCAAACTAGGTCATTTCGGGACTACCATGGTTTAATTTTATTTCAATAATTCGCTTGAGCGTAGGGGTCTTTAGCAGTGGGAGAAAACCGGAGGACCCGGAGAAAACCCACGAGATTGGACAGGCGACCCTACTCCTTGTCACGTACAACTGGGGATTCGAAACCACGCCAGTCGACTCAATGACAGACTTTATGATACAGCGCGCGCACGCTAACCATTCAGCCATCCACCCCTTCCCCCCCAGTAATATTGAGCGTGGTTTCACCTTTTCAATGGTGCAAATAAACTGAGGGTCTGTCAAGGGACAGTGATAAGTTGTTCAGATGGTCCCATGTACATGTTGTCTTGACATGAAAGAACCCTTGACAGTTAGAATACAATAAGAATAGGCTGTAGCACCACTGTTAAAGCAGTGTGGTGTAGACTAGTTTCCATTATTTCAGTAGGTGCATAACAGTCGGACTTTAAACCCTGTTTCATTTTGTTAAGCAAATTGGTTTTAATATTCTACAGTCTTTTAGATATTTAGATAATAAATACATGTACAAGTAGTATATGGACTAGCAATATCAACTTAATGATTATTGCTTATAGTGTTTTTGACATCAGTCTTGATATGTACAGTAATTTGATGACTGACTCACAATATTGATCTCAATATTCTGTGCAGGTTGACGCTTGTACGCCAGCAACAATTTACATAAAATATTTTACACAGTACGGGCAGTTTCTGCAGTACATTGTACATTTGGGTTCAAGTTTACGCGCCAAACACCATATGAAATATTTTGTGCAGTAGCCAATTTGAAGCTTGTATGTCAGCTACTTGTGCAGTAGCCAATTTTATAGCTTGAATGTCAACCACCATATATATAAAATATTTTGTGTTTGCCATTAAACACCATAATATTTAATGTATTGTATTTTTCAGTTCATTCTTCCTGGTATTTCTGGACTCTTTGCTGCCATCAGAAGATCAAAATGCAGTGTAAGAAACATTAATCAGTTTTCAAATAAATTTAAATGTGGACTGTGTATCAATTATGGGCCAATTTGTCTTGGCATACACTAGCAAGGTGTTATATAATATATTAGGCTAGGATAATAGATTGCTACTGTGGAGTTGAAAGACAGATTGCTACTGTGGAGTTGAAAAACAGTCCTCTTATGTACTGCTTCGACTTTTTTATGGATGGAGGTCGGAAAAACAGAATATGAGGATTCAACTTATAGTCCACATCAACTTATCCTATAAAATACAGTAATTAATATTATAGGTCACTTTTTCTCGCATACATCGGTTCAGTACTAAACTAGGATAAGTCTCGAAACTTGATAATAGATTAGATTGCTACGGTAGAGTTTAAAATACTCCACATTGATTTGTACCCTTTAAAATATGGTATGAGAAAGAAAGATACATACAGTAACATGGATTTTGATTGGATTCTCACTTGAGACCAGGATCAATAATCCCTCCAATCTCTCTCTCTCTCTCTCTCTCTGTTTGTATCAATAACCAATCACTTTCTGATTCATTGTGGTTTATTTTATTTGCTTGCAGCACATTGTCCACTTGGTTTTTGGAATCAAGGCCCTCCTCGTCATGGGAGTATTCTTTGTGATTGGAATCTTTGCCCTTGGTGCTGTTGCTTCCCACCATAAAATGGATTGTAAGAGCATGAACAATATGTGTATGTGCAGGTATGAGATAATGATTTTACTAAGTTTGACCTAAAAATTACTTGGTCATTACCCTGTGGATGCTCAATGTCTCATGGGTATTGAAATCATCCATGGCATTTTACTGTATAGGCTATGTGCGGGTAGGAAAAAATAAAATAACTTTTTTTTTCAAACTTTGGGTGGATAAAACTACTTCTTTTGGGTCTAGGTTGGGGGGTAAAGATGACTAATTAGCATCTAGAAGATAGGAGCATAGAATTGACTTAATTCGGATGTAGTAGGTTAGGTTTACATGTAAATAGAACTTGTTTCATGAAAGTGAGCTTAAAAAATTGTGTAGCTTAAAAAAAAATTGTGTAGTTTACACAAAAAACTTTCGGGTCAAGAATTAAAAGAATAATTTAGAAGAAAACATATAGCTCCATGAAATGGTCATTTTATTAGGCCTAATATATCAATGTGTTATAAATTATTTTAAAACATGAAACTAAATTAATTTCAGGACATCTGATTATGATGATTACCAGGAAATTGGACTCCATGATTGTAAAATGATGTATACTGCTTATAACATTGGCATGGCGATTGTCATCATCATTGTGATTGGATGGGTCCTGCTTTTGACTGAAACTGTCATCGCTGGTACCGAAACCTGCAAGCCCAGCTCGGTAATTATATTAAAATATCGTTTGAAGGCTCTGTTGATATTTTATTGTGGGGTTAGGTGGCTGAATGGTTTTACAGGTGCGCTTTAGATCATAAGGTGTGCCATCGAGATGTGGATTTGATTCTCCATCTTCGACATAAAAGAAATAAGGCTGCCTCTCTTTAACCTTGTGGACTTTCTATGGTTTCCTCCAATTGCTAAAGACCCTTACATGCAGGCAAGTTAATGAAATCGCTCGTTTAAGTTAGATCAGAACAAGTCCAGTCATAGTTCTATCTATCCATCCACATAAAAATGCATCAACATAACCCGCATGTCGATCATTTCAATGGATAGTATTCGGTGTCAAAACAGTCCACTTAAATTGATAGCATTTATAGCATCAAAACAGTCCATTTAAATTGATAGTATTCAGTGTCAAAACAGTCCACTTGATTTGATGGCATAAAGCATCAAAATAGTCCACTTCAGTTGATAGCATTCAGCATGTTAGTCCTATGTACAACCTTGTCGTGCATGTAGAAGAACTTTGACAGTTGTTGGAATTTGAATAAGAGTAGGCCATCGCAATGCTGTCTGGACAGAATTTCCCTGGACGGCACACTGTATGGCATAAACTTGTCTTTAGCCTAGTCGGAGCAGAAAAGTAGGACCTTAAACCTCATTTCATTTCTTCTGCATTAGAAACGTGTAAATGATCAGCTGCTTCAATTTGCCATGATAATTTATCCAGTCATTGTGCCATTTATTGTAATAATTTGAAGTTATTTATAAAGGTCAGTAGAGCAGGACAAAGGGCCAGGAAATGGACAATGTATAGTCAGTCAGATAGGATGGAAACGGGTCCGGTGTGCACGTAAAATAGCCCTTGACAGATGAAATTCAGTATGAGTAGGCTGTATTACTGCTATCGGGGACAAAATTTTCCTAGTACATAGCACACTTGATTAGCCCAGTAGGATGTTAAAACTCCATTTAATTTATCAAATCGATATGTGTTTCAGGCATCCAGCCAGGGAGCTGTCATTGTTCGTGCTCCAGTCCAGACAACATTTGTACGCTTGGAAGAAAGCGCTGCACCACCGGCTTACAACATCCACGACAAGGCTGTGCTCGTCAAAAATTGTTAGATACTTGCTCCTCGAGTTTTTTTTTTTAATTTTAAAGGTTTTTTTTGTAATAGCTCAATTTAATCTAGAACTAATATTGCCATGTGTGCTCTGACAAATGATCCATGAATTTATAATACAATAATAAATGTTTGACTCGGAAGATAAAATATGGATGAGTTAAAAATAAATGTCTGATTGTCACATTCACAAACTAAAATTTATCTAAAAAAAACCCATAATAACCCATCTTTATATTGGTGCTTTTTTATACTCCAACAAAGATAAACTACCTGGAAATGAATGATCTACCTTGAACTAGAAAAGCAGTTTTAAAACAAGATTATTTGTCCGAGCACCACAAATTACATGACAAGTTGCTTGATAGCATGTTTAATTCTTTTTGATATATATATATATATTTTACCGTGTTTAATATAAGCTTGCTTACTGGATCATGTCTTGGCTGACAATGTCTTCAAAAATGCCTGAACTCCTCGTACATGTACTTATCACACAAAGTGTATCATTTAGTTTTCAAAACATGGCTTTCAAGAGAAAAGTTTTCAAATTTAAAGTTACAATTTCATATTTTCTAAAAAAAAAAGGTCAAAACATAATTATTTCTATGTCTTTAGCTCAACAGGTTGTCAACTCACTATTATACAATCATAGGTTATCTTTCTCACACAATTACCTCCCTTGTTTTCCTTTTCCACACGATGGAATAGCTATCTTCAATTGTTTGAATTTGAAGTTGAAAATGATGTTTTTGTTAATTTCTCAACTGGCAATAGTGAATTTTAGAATTAATAGTATTATTCTTTAACAAGATAGGACTGTTTACAGATAGCATCGATTTTAGGGTTTTATTTTAATACATTTTAAAAATATAACTTAAAAATATGAAATTGTAACTTTAAAGTTGAGTAGAGAATTAATTTGAAAAGATTTAAATGTAACAGCCTTTGTTGTAAATAAGATAACAAAACACTAAAAAGTGTCTAAACATTAATTTTTTTAATGTATGTAACCTTAATCCTTTACTTTCGTACTTAAAAAGTAGCCATGTTGTCAGTGCGTAAAATATAATTTTTTAAAGGGTGGATATGTTTCACCAAAATTTTTTTTTTTTTTAAAACAATGAATCTCCCAAACCCTAATCACTACTTAACCTAAATATTTTTTTAAAATAAATATGTTTCCAAAGAATAGGTGCTTCTCGCAGTTCCCTAATCCTCCATCCAACGAAATCATCAGATTAGTCAAATTGTTTTGATTTGCAATAAGCAACATCATCAAATATTACTATAAAGATGATTGCATGTAATGTGGTGTTAACTGCTAGAATATCTTGATTGATGTGAGAGGCTAGGGTAATTACAATGAAAAATTTTATTTGGACATATAAATGCATTGCTACTTTTATATTTAATGTTATTTAGTGCTCTTTACAGGGAAGCTAACGGTGTTCATACTGGAGTTTTTGTTTCCGTTCCAATTTATTTTTATTCTATTGCTTATGGATCAGGGTTTTCTGGAATTTAATGACAAAGGTGTTAATTTTTATTTAGTCCCTTCTAGGTGATAATTTATAGTTTACATGTTGCCCATCCGAATTTCTCATCTTGCACCTTTTTGGAATCTTCCAATTTATCATCTTGCCATTTAAGGAATCGTACTATTTTTAAAGATTTTGTTTTTAAAACAGATATTTGTAGTTCTGTATATTATGAGATTACATGATATTTAACTCTTGAAAAGAATTGAAAATATTTTACTATTTGAAACCTATGCATATTTTTGAAACTTTATTATGCTTGCTGTAATATTTTGAGGTAAATAAACATTTGAATTTTCGTTTGCCTAGACAAGTCCTTAACTATAAAATCAACTGGTTTATGATCTGGAAACTGTGGTTGGCTCAATATGTAAGCAGTTGGCTCGCTAATCTTGGAAGTTTCCGGGGTCGGTTGTGTAGCGATCAAACCCAGAGTTCACAAAGCATTTACTCAAAATTGTTTGCCTTATTTTAACTAAAATAGAGCCCTTTTATAAATTTTTTGTTTGAATGTATTAAATATATCAATAAGAAACTATATGAAAAATTTTGTTTCTAGATCAAAGATAATTCTCATAAAATGTGATTGGAAGTTAAGTTAATTCTTATGTCTGAGAATGCTTTGTGAACTTTTCTGTCATGGTTCTCCCTCTGTCAGTGGTGCAGGGCAGAGGATGGTATGAAAAACTTGAAGTCCTGTGCATGTAAAAAGAGCCCTTGACAGTTAAAAGTTGATATAAAAGTAGGCTGTAGTGCCACTGCAGGCAAAAGTTACCTCATAGCACAGTGTACGACGTATGCCCATCCTCATTAGTGGAGTGACTAGTAGTGGATATTAATGCCGGGCTAGTGCCTGACAGTAGACTACTAGCCCTGGGCTAGTGGATTCAAAATTTTTTTTACGCCCCTGAGTAGAAGGGAACGACGAGGCTGATGATGGTCCATTAAGGACTAGGTGGGGACCACAGTGGGTAAGACTCTGACTCACTAGTCTGGAGGTCCGGTGTTCGATCCCTGCATTGGCCGAGAAAGTTTATCCAGATTTTCCATCATGGTTCCCCCTTCTCAGTGATGCAGGACGGAGGGCCTGGTAAGGACAGTTGTTTGTCATTCGGAGGGGACGGAAAACCGAGGCCCCATGTATATATTGGTGTGCACGTAAAAGATCCCCTGGCAGTTGGAATTCGATATAAGAGTAGGTTGTAGCGCCTCAATCCTGGCAAAATTTTCTCGTAGCACACTGTATGACCTATGCCCGTCTTCATTAGCCCAGTTTGGAGTCAGTAGGACATTCAACCCCATTTCATTAACTAGGTTCCAGAAAGTTACATGGGATTTTTTCAGCCTGGTTTCCTTTTTTTGCAGGACGGCCCGCTGAAATAGTTTAAAACCTAAATGAGCGGAGAGCCACAGTCATTGGACACATAGATTACAATAAACCGACGGACATTTCACATCAGAAAATATAATACTGGGACTATTTGGACACCTTTTATATTAACAAGGCAGCTGATTGGTGCATACCCATTGCTTGGCAAACTATGTTAATCCTGCAGCAACTTTTCGAAGAGTTTAAAAAATTTCAGTCAGTATAACCAGCCCGGGCATGTTATGGGTCAATCCATTATTTAGTAATGGTCGACCTTGAGAGATGAGGGGACAAAATTTGTAGGTGACACCATAGAGCAGTGGTCCCATGTGACCTCATTGTTTCCAATACAGCATTGTTTTCCTGTACATTCATTACGATCTGGTGTGTTTACTGAACGTCAGTTTTTGTCATTACAATGGAATTTAATCCAAATAGGTCAAAATACGGTTCTCTTACCAACGACAAGGTCACGTGGAACCGAGTTTTTACTAGTGATGCTTGGTGGGAATTGCTTCAGGGAGGACACCCATTCTTCTTTGGCCCAATTTTTACCCATCTGTCCCAGCTCACCATGCATTGCCCAAATGATGATATTGGGAGATGTTAATGTAGGCCAATTGGGGAGGTTCGGGTGTTTCCGGAGTCCAAAATGGCCTCTTAATATAAATGAGAATTTTGGGGAATACTAATCCGAACCCTTTTTAGAAGATTGGACTTGGATCCAATTTACCTATAACCCTCTTAAAAGGGTTAGAGTTCGGGTTAGTATTCCCCAAAATACTCCGGACACCGGAAATACCTGAAGCTCCCCAACCTCCCTACAATTAGCGTCTCGCTATGGTATTGCCACTCAACTCCTGAGTGACCGGAGTTCCATTAAAAATTTAAAAACAAACACTAATTAATTATATGAAACGTGTTTAAATCACAGCAAATGTGCCAGATTAACATAATAATAACTTTAACAAGATTTAAAAATAGTAATGAAATCACAAAGCACAAAAATAAAATAGGATGCACTTAATATATTCAAAAATAGTTTCTCCCTTAAATAACAATGTACAACTTGGTTAAATTTGGCTTTTTAAAAGTAAAATTAATTAAGGCGTCTACCAATAATACTTGTTTGTACATAAAAGAATTTATACATTTTACACCAAAGGCATTTAATAACTTTAAACAATTCTCTCTTAACTTTTAAAAGGCCATTTATACTGAGCATGACCACAGTGCCTTTCCGCGTGAATCATCATTAGTACTGAAATTAGTAAATTACACAAGGAAATTCACAGATGAAAGTTGTTCATTGAAGATTTGGCCATGTATGCCTTTTGACATCGCACTCTGACGGTTTCTAATAATTCTTTATGGAGGCAATCTCTGTGTTCACGCTCAGTATAAACGATCCTTTAACCCTTATATATATATATATATATATATGGTCACACACAAAATTTGACTTTTATAAAGTTAGATTATATACTGTCAGGATAAAGGTACGATTGGGACTGGAGACTTTAAATTTTGGCTGAAAATTTAGTTTTGAGTCTTGGTTCTGTGAGTCGGGTATTAAAGGGTTAAATCAGCAATTCAATACTCTAATTGTTCATGTACGTTATTGTGTTTATTGAAGGTTTACTCTTGTTAGCACTTGATAAATATTGACTACCAATTAGACAAAAGTGATATATTCCATACCTGGCCAGAGTTCACTAAGCATTCTCAGACTTAAGAATTTACGCATCTTTCAATCATTGTTTGAGAAATATCTTTGATCCAGAAACACATAGTTTCTTATTGACGTATTTGATACATTAAAACAACAAAAGTTTTATAAAGGGCTATATTTTAATTAAAATAAAGCGAAAAATTTTGAGTAAATTCGTAACTTAAGCCTGAGAATGCTTTTTGAACTTGGGCCTGTACATCCGTTGTCAGCCAGAAACTACTACTACTGTCCCTTGGACTGCTTTGATCTGCCCGAGATAATGGAATAGATTTCTGTATTGTAAGAAGATGGCAGTTATTGATGTGAGTCGAGGCCTATAGGGTTAAACAATAGAAGTCCAATATCATAAAATAATTATCACAAGCTCAGCCATTTTAAAAATGGCTGCTGCTGAAAACTGGAAGTTATTTCTGAGTAATAAAGGCAGTGTTTGGAACTGTTCCATCATTGGTTCTCTGTCTTCGTAACTGAACTTGAAGTTGTAATTTATTGGTGTAGAATAATTTCTTCCAACCAATCGTATCAGCTAAAGATACCACTTCTGGAGTTATCGAACTTTCACTGTTGGCTCTATAAATTTTCTTCCATAATTCATCAGAATTACATAGTTTTCTGGAAAAAAAAAAGAATGCATAGAAATGAAATAAGGTTTAATAATATTATATGGTCCTCTACTTTGTATTCTACTAATACTACTAAGACTAATGAAGACTGGAGTATCATATGCAGTCTGCTATGTGTGAAATTTTACTTTACCAACTCTTATTTAAAATTCCAGCTGACAATAGTTCTTGTTTTGAGGAGTGTATGAGATAACTACTCCATTATGTTCGAGAACGAAAATACATATTGAAATTAACACCTATTGATTGTGTTTAGCACATTCAGATCTTAATCTTAGGCCATATTAATTTAAATTTGTTTTTCAGGAAAACCTTATAAACATTAAAATTTCGGCTTCATATTTCTTAGGAAAAAAAAAACTAAATTAAACATAAAACATTATTAGTCTCTTTTCTCAATTTTTTCAAACAAAACAACATCAGGGTGTGCACAACTCGGAACATTTAAAATTCCAGGAGTTACCAGGAATTATTTACCAGATTCCAGGAGTATCTGTATAGAATTCTAAATCATAATGTATTTTTTTACGCTTTGAGAACATTTACGGCCATGAAATCGTGTACTTTTGAAGAAACATTCGATGACTACATTTAGTTTTATATCTTAAAATATATAGTGAAACCCCAAATGTTAATTTTCCAGGAGTTTCAAGGTGTATTCTTTTTTTCCAGGATTTTCCAGTACTGGAAATCACATTTTCATTTTTCCAGGATTTTCCAGGAGTTTCAAGGAGTGTGCGAACCTTGAACATACAGGAGCCAATGTATTTACTAAGGATACATTTATTCAAGAGCTAAATTTGCCTATTGCAGGTCTTTCTTTGGGCCTTAAATGTTATATAAATTATCAATGAGATATTTATTAACATGACAAGATCATAATCAACTCTCGATGTCATCGGATGCTCGAGATTTCAAAAAGATTAGAACGGTTCGGCCATTCAATGATTTAATCTAAAAATTGAGAAGCGAGGCCTAGACTTGAATATAGCAGCATCATTGTTACAACAATAAACAATCAATGCGCATATCTTGTCAAAACTACAAAGTAATTTGATGAAATTTTCAATATATAATTCACTTTGCATTATCTATTTTTGAACTATTATAGCAAGAGCGGCCAGCTCTTTATCTAAATCTTGTGTATAATGACTCGTATTTACTACGACATAGAAGAACTAAAAATCATATAGGCTATTGGTTTTGCCAACTCCTTGATCTAGCCCTATGAAATACACGTTTTTCTAGATTTTATTCAAGACATGCATGAACATGTTCTTTTCTTTATTGTCCCTGCATAATACATTTTCTAGATAAATCAACACTGTAAGCTAATGTCAATAACATATTATATTGAATATTGGTTATTCACACTAGTTTTATCACTTGTAGTCATGAATAAAACACACACACACACAACATGCAAGCTATAGAAGTTTGCTAATTATATTAAAATAAAGCTCTGTATTGGAATCTTATTTTTATGGCTTGGCCTATTTTGTTGTTCTTAGTGTTTAAGATACGCTTTCACTGAAGGTGATATCGCAGACAAGTTTTATTTTTCATTTTATTTTTATTATCTTAGCACACCTTTGGGGGTCATATATAATAAAGTCTATTTTGTTTTTCTTAGTGTTTAACGTCCGCTTCCACCAAAGGTGATATTGCAGACAAGTCTTATTTTTCATTTTTTTTTTTTTAATATTATCTTAGCGCATGTGCAGAGGTATTGCCTGTGGGAGGAAACTGGAGTACCCGGAGTAAACCCACAAGGTTGATAAGTCGCCCCCATCTCCAAGCCACTATACGCTCACACCGTGACCAGGGATCGAAACCACAACCGCAAGCCAGAGGTGACAGCCTAACAGGCCAGCTAGAGGTTGAAGCATGATACTCTAAACCACTAGGCCATCCCAACCCTACCCCCTAAAGTCTATTATATAGTTGGTAAGAGCTGACTCTTGACATCTTGTAATACTTCTTTCTAGTTCGATCAAAACAATAAAATTTCTTATGTGTGGGTAAAATATTCTTTTTTCGCATTGTCTGTATGAAGCATCCCCAAGTGCTAGAGAGCTTTTCGACAGCATCACATAAGTTTATTCGATTATTACTACTATATAATCCTTGATTTGGTATTGCATTTCTTATTTATTTATTTACATACTTTATGTTTTACTTATTTATGACATTTCGTAGGTTTATTTTAAAACGATAGTGGCATATTTTCTAAAAACAAATCAAAAGTATCTCTATACCTATAACCTATAGGCCTAATTGTCAAACCCTACTACTATGTAATGGTAGGAATCATTTTACATTCTAGCATTTAAATGAAATAACACTGGACATAATAGCAAATTTACCTCCATTTTGTTTTCTATAAATAACGCTCAATGGAATTGGGTCAAGTCTAAATATTAAGTTTACCTGCAGATTTTGTCACGGTTGTGAGATGTAAATAGGGTTAAGGCACGTGATTGTTGACAAGATTGTAGGTTAGGGTAAGGAGTTGGGATAGCTTTAGGGTTAGGGTTAGCACTATCCCTGTTTACATCTTGTGACCGTGTCGAAATCTGCACCTTATATATTTTACCATGATTCTTCTTTTTTCGCCAAAAGTAATCATTTCTTGCCACACCTGACACAAATTTATAATAATTCAATACTATAATCAACCTCAAGACTAGAATTTTACAATTCAAAAACATAAACAAACTTTTGAATTGGTCCCCCACTATGAAACTTTTGTTTCACCAGAACAGAGTCTCGCAGACCAAAGCCAAAGATCGCGGGTTTGTGGTTAAATCGCAAAATTCTACCTGAAAATAGTGTTGAATTATGTACCAGGTATTTATAAATTTGTGTCAGATGTTGTGAAAAAAGAAGAATCAAGGGGGAAAAATAGAAGGTAAGGATTCCAAATTAGCCTTAGATAGGGTGCCTCACCATAAATAAATATATCCAAATGTCTTGACAATTATTACACGGGTACACCACAATATTTATATATATCAAGCCTTAAATCAGTTTCGCAGATTTATAGTCACTGAATAAACGGTCATGTTGTACTTAAAGTTAAAGTAGCTAAGTCTCTTACTCAATATCATCCAAAGTCTTTGACACTGAAAATCAACATTGATGTTGGGATCTTACAGGGAAAAGATGGACTTCTGATATCCAATATTTAAGACAAAATCAACATTTTACCATTCCATTAGGCATTACACAAATCGTGTACCATAATTCGTTTCAGCACCACTTGTAACAAGGGACTCGAAGAACGGAGCTAGACATTCTACAAGTCATACCAAATGGTGAGAGCATGCAGAATAGACTGGAATAACCAGACGCTCGAGATTGCTATTCGATTGAGACTTCTGGCGTAGTTCGCCGAACAGAACTGATTTGAAATTAGAGTAAATACATAAACGATTGAATGTAAATCAGTTTAAATACATTCAGATTATATCATTATATCCGTTGTGACCCATTTGTGTCAATTTCTAGATCTCAACAAATATTAGCGATTTAGCTCCTTTAATATTGTATTAACTGTACTGTAGGCTACTTCAGTCTTATGATCATGAGTTTGCAAGGTTAAATTACACATATTGCATTTTATATAGCAAGGAAATTATTGGGTCACGTTTTTACTGCTTTTAGTAACTAGACTGGGTGTTGGCCTACACAATAAACTTATTATATTTATTAATACATGTATATGTAGGCCTACTTGTACTTACCTAAATTGTTTTGAAACTTGACTAAGACGAGCAATATCTTCCAAATCCAACATAAATATTAGTTGTGAAAGAACCCGATCTGGTAACCTTGGTAAATAGTCAATTTTTCCATGACACAGATTTGTCAAATAGTCCAGAGTATTAGATCCTGCAACTCTTTGAATTTCACTGTGAAGTCTTTCATCTAATAAAAAATCTTCGTGACTGTCTTTTACTTCTGACGGCGGGTTCTTGGAATCTGAACGCGTTGGGGGAACAACTTTCCATAATCTGTAAATAACTTCCGTTGGTGTCATAAAAAGGTGAAAGAAATCTTTGCATGGAGAAGGAGCCTGGTCGGTAAAATCGACAATTGCTCCATGTTCGTTAAGCCAAGGTTTCATGTTCGCCATTTTGACGCTAAATCGGTAACCAGCCCAACGGCCTTCACCTTATATATTGTAAATGAAGACTGGGATATCCAGCCATTCTTGGCACCTTACCAAGGAAATGAAAGGCTGGATAACCTGTGAATATTTATACGGAAGACCGACGGAACAACTAAATAAGTAATCGCTTTTGTTGAATCGATGTAAATGAAATGAAATGGGGTTTAACGTCCTACTGTTCTGTTCCGGCTAATGAAGATGGGCATAATTCGTACATTGTGCTATGAGGGACATTTTGCCCCGGCAGCGGCGCTACTGCCTATAGGCCTACTCTTATATCGAATTTCAACCGCCAAGGGATCTTTTACGAGCATCTGTTGAACTGTATTAGCCTACTTTGACTCTAGGAAGAAAGAGCGGACCAATTTTAAGTTCGGTATGTTGTCTGAACTTTGATAGGAATATTATAGCGTATGAGCGCGGACAGGGTACGTCTCGGACCGGATGATGTGGTCCGAGGGCCCAAAGTGGCTAGGGGTTAACCAGAAAACAGAATGACATATATATTTTTTCAAAAATAAATAGAATTCATCTTCGCATCCACTGAAAATAATAGTGGTCTAAATCGGACAAGAAACGTGATCTATGAGTGGAATAAGCTAGTTGTGTGTTCTGGTGAAGTCATGCGTTCGTCGCAGCGAAGGGGCCCAAAGGACACCCGTTGTTGCGAGGACCCAAGGAAACCCGTTGATCCGAGGACCTAGAGCTACCGATTCCGCCCCTAATACTACGCCTAACCTACAAAATCCGTTCGTGACCGTGGACTTATCGCTCACCCATGTACGTGTTATATAAATCATCTGTAATGATATTAAGTATTAAGTATCCGTTAGTTACGTACATGGTATTACCCTCTATAAAACAAGGCTCTTGTAAGAATATCCTGGCTTTCTGACCAGTTAATCCCCAGTTATTCTTATACAGATTATACGATCAGTATAAGTAAGATTAGTTCGGATTTGTTTCAAGAGATATCAATAAAAAGCGGTTGGTGCGAAATGATAAGGCCAAGGAGTAGGATCGCCCGTCCAACCTCGTGGGTTTTCTTCGGATCCTCCGCTTCCCCCCCCCCCCCACTGTTAGAGACCCCTACGCCAAGCGAATAATTGGAGTGCAACTGAACCATGCGTTAGTCCCGAAATGACCCAGTCTGTGTCGAGTGGGCGTTAAACCTCGTCTCTCTCTCTCTCTCTCTCTCTCTCTCTCTCTCCCTCCCTCTCTCTCTCCTGTACTCGTGACAATGGTAAGTGAATCTATCTAGGTTATTTTGGAGAGAGAGATTTGACTTCAAGTCAACACAAACTAGGTTATTTCGGTACTAACATTGTACAATTGTATTTCAATAATTCGCTTGAGCAGTGGTGTCTTTGGCCGTGCACGTTAACTGTATTACCTAGAGAAACCCCTTGAGGTTAGACAGGCGTGAGGCCAAAAGCACGCCACTTAACTCAATGCTAGACCTTATTTGAGTAGCTTAATGTTGTTGGTCCACAGGAAAACAACCCTTCTGCACACAGAGATCCACCTACTTCATACTTTGAGAATAGACCTCTGACCTAAATGACCGCCATATCCAAAAATTAGTATAATACTGTTTTGTAATGCGGCCCTACTCCGGTTTACATCTGTTATTCTCAAAAAGACCAATTAAATCTTTTCAATTTTAGTAAATGAAAGCAGAATATATACTTCTCAAACTTATCGAATTGTACATAGTGTTTTCGACTAAAATCGTCGATTTAGGACTTAAAATTAGGGTCACCTAGCCGAGTGTCTGTTCTCAAGCGAAGCTAATTGTAGACAATGAATCAGGCAGCCAAAGTTTAGTATGCCAACCAGAATGACCCTTTTCCCATGGGAAGTACACAAATTGTTAATGAACCAAAGTCCCGTACGTAAAGCTTTGTCTCATAAGTGTAAACAAGGGTGTAATTGTTTCAATGTAAAAACGTTTGATGTAATTCGCTTCATTTCATTTCATTTAAAAGTAATTTAAATAAGATAACGTTTTAGGGTTATGTTTTATTAAACAAACACAGAATTTCTAAATAGAAGGCGAATTCACTGCAGATTAATTTATTTTTTGTAGTATTGAAAACAAATTCGATCACCGTTCCGGAACAACGAACGGCCTAATTTGTGTGATGTGTTTGTTGTTGTTGATGTAAGTTTTTGTTTCAATATCTCCCTCGTGTGGTGTCATCAGCGTATGTTATCATTGAGTTAGATGTTATCTGCAGGAAACACAAATTGACTTTCTCTCAAACAGGGATCAAGGTGGCTAAGTGGGTAAGACGCTGACTCGCTTTCCTGGAGGTCGGGTGTTCGATACCTGCATTGGCCGAGAAAGTTCACCCAGATTTTCCGGCGTGCCCCCCCCCTCCCTTGTCAGTGATGCAGGCCTGACAAGGACAGCTGTCTAGTCATTCGGATTATACGAAAAACCGAGGTCCCTTGTACACATTGGCGTGCACGTAAAAGATTCGATATAAGAGTAGGCCGTAGTGCCGCCGCTGTCCGGTCAAAATTTCCCTCATAGCACACTGTATGGCGTATGTCCGTATTCATTAGCCCTGCTCGGAGCAAAACAGTATGATGTTAAACCCCATTTCATTTCATTTCAAACAGAATTGTCTACCCTTGCACGAAAAACTGGTTGTATTCTACAACATGTGGGAGTCTCAGTGGCTCTGTGTGTAAGGAGAGCTGTCTAGTCTATTTAGAATTCCAACAGTCATTAGTGCTTTTACATGAATGCCAGTATGTAAACGGAACCTCGTTTTTAGTCCCATCCGACCGACTAGACACTATCCTCTTCAGCCCCTACAAGGAAAACAACGTTAGAGCTCCCTCCGACAACACCGGGAGCGAACCTGATGCCCCCTGGTTAGTGAGACAGTGTCTTACGCACTGGGTCACCGCGTGCCTCACACGTGCACGTAAAAGGAAGAATGGGTCACAATGCCTGCATGGGCGTATGCACGTTATACAGACTAGTAGGAGGTTCATCCCCAACTGATTTCATGAATAGCGTTTTCTCGTTAAAGGATGAAGGTGCGATTAGAACGCTTTTGTAAAGGCAACTTTACGGCCACAACATAAGTGCCGTGGAAGAGTTCGATAAATGATACTGATACGGTTTTAATATTCCCAGAACACAAATAAAGCTCTGAATATAACATAGCGATTCAACCGTAAACATCAAATAGAACAATAAGAAGGCTTTCATATTTAATTTAGTCGGGTAGATATTAGGAAAAAGTTGTATTGTTTAAGGATAACAAATGAATCGAAGACGTAAATTGTGATGGACACTGTTAAAGATACATTTTCGCATAAAAAAAACAAAAATCAGTTAAAAATTTTCTTCGAGAAAAAAAAAAAAAATAAAAAAATCCATCAGTACTTTGTTGCGCTGCTCAAAAGCTTTCATTTCCAAATAAATTTAAAAGAGTGAATTTGCTTACGTTTCATGTTACTATTAATTGAAATAAAATACAAATACCTGTCAGTGATTGAACCGTATGTTATATCAAACTGTTGAATACGTCGGTCAGGGCTAAATATTAAGGCCACCTGCAGATTTCGTCAAGGTCGTGATATGTAAATAGGATTGGGGCTAGAATGAGGGTTAGGGCTAGTACTTGCCCTGTTTAATATCATGACCGTTTAGACCTGATCGAACAGGGCCAATGCGAATGTCTTATCCTGCACACTTCGAGATTTATATCGGATCAGTTTGGAGATGCGCCACAGGCATTTGCGAATCTTTCGTACAGATAACTAGCTGTTGCCATCGAAACAAGTAATGCCCACATTTACTGGAACTTACACTTTATACCCAAAGTAGCCTAGGAGCGGACTGGGTAGCTATGGGCCTTCGGACCAACTGGTTTTCTTCCGTCGTGAAGAGTACGTGACATGGCGCGAAAACGAAACTGGTTTAAATAACCTTTCCCCACACTCTACCCATAGATCATTTCTCTACTCGGATTTAGTCAATATATTTTTCAGTAGATGCCACGATGGATTTTATTATAAATGTCGAAATCAATATTTCCACTGACCTTCCTGGGCCCTCGGGCCATGTGCGACAGTACGCGGCCCAGTCACCTCTTCTCCATGCGCCATTAAATAATATTATTCATCAGATTTTGTCCACCATTGTATTGTAAACATAAGATTTAACTATTTTATATGTTTGGAGAGAACTTATAGGCCTTTGCCTGTTGTTCAATCCAATGCAGTTTATTGAATAAAATATTGTTTGAATTAGATTTTATAAACGAAACACCCACTTTAATAAAGAAAACTGGGCGTCAATACTGTATAATATAGAAACAAGACAAACACAGGATGACAAGACTGTAACAGCTGTAACAATACGGTTAATAATTACTAACTGGCGAGATGAAACTAGAAGTTAAAACCTGTCCTTATACTTTTATATTTTCAATTGTAAATTTATGCTTTGTTTTGGTGTCTGGAATATGTTTAAAGACAGAATTTCGCCATGTCAGCGCTCTTCAAGATGTTTATGTGAATGAGGGATTGATAGAGAATTTTGTGAATCACGCAAACTCTATTCAGTGCTCGAAAAAGTGTATAAATAATATTTTGTGCGTGTCATTTTTCCACAATAGTTTGAATTCAACATGTGGCCTGTATTCAGTAACATTTATTACATCTCCAAATTATGTCTATGCTGGACAAAAAATTACTGATATTGGATCGAAATATTATATAATGCAAGACGGTATGTATTTTTAAAACGAAATGTCCAGGTATTAGGTGTTGTGGTGTGCTGGAATGTTATTTGTCTTGTGGAGTGAGGCATTGGGGTCATTTCTTGTCAATTAGGTCAATTTTCAGAAATTTGGGAAATCCACCCCTCGAAAAAATCTGTAAAAGGTATATGTAATTGTACATGTAAAAACTAGAAACTGTGCAGAATTTGTGGTCTGTAGCTTAAAAATTGACTGAGATACGGG